TTCCACTGGTGTCAGCCAGCATCCCACCTTTTCCATCCCTTTTGGCCTCTGAGCCCGCCTCACCGCAGTCTGAGTAAACTTCCCCCCTTTCCTTCCTTCCGTGCCTACCCAGCCGCGGGGCTCCCCAGGGGGAGGCTGCGTGAGAGGGTGGGAGCAGTGGCACAGCACGAGTCCAGGGAGCTGGGTTTCTCCTTGCTTTCCCTGTCCATGGCAGCCCTGGGAGCAGCCCTTATCAGCCAGGCTGCGGAGAGGCTGGGTGTTTCCCCGGGCACTGGGGAAATAGAGATTTCAAATCTCCGAATGCCTGTCTGCGGACTGTTTCCTGGGCACTTTGGCCCTCTCTTCGTGGCACAGCCGTGTGTCACGGCACCAAGTCCCCATACGTGGCGTGGTTTTACGCTGCCCTGGACTCCTCAGAAATCTTGCGAGCCTCGTGCCCCATATCCGATGGCTCCCACCCCACTGCCGGTACCTCCGGTAACCCCTCCCCAGGCTGGGTGCAGGGTGCTCTGCTCGGACAAGGCTCTCCTGGCCCCAAGGATGGCTGCCCAGCTCACGGGATGATGCCCCAGCAGCCTGGGGCTGGTTCCAGCGTGTCTCCTGTGCTCGCGCTGCCATGCTGCCTGCCTGCAGCTCTTCTGCAGAAGCAGTGGCTCTCCATCCATGGCAAGCTCTGACTCAGGGTGGCTTTGGAAGCTGAAAACTCGGCACCTGGCCCATCTAGCCTGCCCTGTAACTTGGGTATGATTCAGCCCTGACCTTTAGTGCCATGTCAGGCTGGCAAAGCAGCAGCGTGCTTCCCTCGGGAAGGCGGCAGCTCCTCTCTGGGAAGGCTTTCGCTGCCCACTACCCACGAGGGATCTCATCCACCCTCCTTGGGAGGTGTCCCCCTGTCAGGGATGCGATCAACCTTCAGTTTTCCAAAAATAACAGCCACCTGCTGTCACAGAAAAAGCACCTTCTCAGGAAAATTTGTTTCTGCCAGAGCAGAAAGTGAGCAATATTCAACAACCACAAGGAAAAAGGAGAGACTAAGAGACTTGTGCAAACATTGCTTTGGCAAAATACTCTCCTTTGTTTTCTTGTTGGTTTTTTTTTCCTCTGGCCTGGGGAGCACTGGTATTTCCCTGAACTGGACAGGTCTTTTGTAAGTGATGGGTGGAGAGTGCACGGTGGGGGCTGTGGCTGAGGGTCCCTTCCAGCCCTGTCTGGGACACACAGG